ATACTTTTTCATCAGTAAAAATTTAAAGCAATAGGAGTCTACTTTGTTTATGTTTCTCGCCAAATTTGTATTTTCGGGCGGCTACAAAATTTTTTAAATCTGTTCTTCTAATTCTCTTTAATGCTGTAGTTATAGAAGCATTAAATGTTTGTATTACCTTTTGCTTGCCTTGCCGTATGGAAGAGATCGCTCTTAAATAATTAATGTTTTATCTTGTTGGGCTATAGTAATAACTGATCTCCTACTTTTATCCAAAGTCAGCTCGTTTTCCCATCTTTTTTTAATGTTCTGGATTGTGGTTTTGCTTCTATTTACCTCTTGAGCTAGTTGTCGAATAGACCAATCATCTTCTATTTTTGAAATTATTCTCGTTTTATCAAACTGACTTAACTGACCTGGCATCTTTTAAAAAAATTTTTATTCTGGCCTTTACTGACCATGATCTTTCACCTCTTGCATTGCTTATTGAAAGAGGTATATATAAAATATTATCTTTTTATGACTAAAAATATAATATACTAATGACCACATGGATACAGACGAAATTATTATTTTCGGTACGTATAAAAATCCTAAATTGTAATACTTAATTTTTCAGTTCTACTAGGTTTAAATCTTGCTAATATCATTTTAACTCCTCTAATAAAGAGTCCCTAACATCACTATCATGCAAAATTGTTTTAAATTTATTGTTAATAGTTTTATACTCCTTAGATCTTTTTTTTTAATGTAGATATAGGTAACTTAATAATCGATATAAAAAGAAAAATATAAACTTTTTGCTTTTGCCACTGAATCTGGTGTCCTGTTTTGGAATTTCATCATTAAATAGTTTTTGTATTTTCTGCCGTTTTTTGTCGCCAGTATATGCAATATCTTTAACTGTTTGTGCTTCATTTCCTAAATTGCTAAAAGCATGTCTAACAGTTACTATGAAATCTATCATCAATTAATCATATATCACAACTGCTGTATTTAGAAATTCGTCTTTTTCTTAAAGAGTCTTGTTTGAAGTATTTATTCCCTCTTAAACCTTTTCCAATATAATAACAAAGAATATAGACTCTATATTCTTTGATAATAGTAAAAAATGATAGTCGGACATGAGTATGATCGGAAGGCTGCATGATAGGTATGTGCCTTTAACTGTTCTGAAGAAGGAGACAATAGTTAATTTTCTTGTGATTTTGGATACGTTTCAGTAATAATTATGAATATCACGTTTTTCTGTTAAATAAAAATAAAAATTAATTATAAAAGTTTAAAAATTAAAACCGTTATTTTTGGGCCCAAAAATTACGGGCCCTAGGCACGTGTCTAGGTTGCTTAGGCCTTAGTCCGCCCCTATGCTGACGATTTTGCCCAAACAAATAGAATCACAAATTAAGAAGTATGGAGGTTCATTAATAAAGAAACGATAGAATATCCTAAATACAATTTGGATAATTATTTTCCAAATGAATCTAAAAGATTCTTATTTAAAATAAGAATTACGAACAGACTAGTGACAACACCCCAAGAAACACCGGATGAAATTGCACAAAACTTAAATAGTACCTATCTAAAGACAAAGTTATGAAAAATGGCTTAGTGCAAGAAATAATAGATAAATATATGCCAGCTACAATAATTATAAAGTAGAAAAAAGCTGTAAAGAAGGCAAAAACAAATTCTGGAATAAAAAATGTAGTAAAGAATGAAAAAGAATACTCATAAAAGAAATGGCGAAAAATGGAATGGAAACTATTAGGTTTACCGGAAGTATTGCCAGAATATGATAGATTTTTAAAAGATCATATTAATAAGCGAACAAATTTTGGTAAGGGCAAAACTTCATATCTGTCAAAAGATATATGTAACGAATTACTGAATATTTTGTCCAATCGAGTCATTGATGAAATTGTTAGGCAAATTAAGGGAAACAAATACTATTCTATAAGTGTAGATTCAATACCTAATGTAACACACCATGGCCAACTTACAGTGATTTTGAGATATTGTAAAATAAAGGGAACCACTTGGGAAAGATTTGTGGGATTTTATAAAAACAGTGGGCATAGCTCACAAGAACTTGATGAAACAGTTATTGGGATGTTACGAATCTTTGAAATTAGACATTAAGAACTGTAGAGGCCACTCTTACGACAATGTCAGTAATATTAGTGGCAAGTATTCTGGTTTGCAAGTAGGTATTAAAGTTTACAATGATTTAGCTCTCTTTGTGCCATGTGCACTCTTTAAATTTGTTTGTCCAAAATGCAGCAGATTGTTGTTTGGAAGCAACATCATTTTTATGTTGGTACAAACTATCTACAATTTTTTCTCCATGTCTACACAAAGGTGAGAGCTATTGTCTCGTGCAATAAAGGATTCTCCGGAGTCGGGGCAGACACTGTTACCTAAAAGAGTGTATACAACCCGTTGGTCTTCTCATTTTGATGCCATAAAGCGTTAAAAAGCAATTACGGTTTGATTAAAACATGTTTGATTGAAATGTAAACGGATATAATTGAGAAAAATGTAGTAAGAGTAGAAGCAGCTTTTCTATCGGAAACATTTGATTTGTTAGAAAACAGAATAATTTTATCATTTTGGCTTGACGTTTTCACGTTTTGACGTTCAAAAGGAAAATATGGATTTAAGCACAACCGCTCATCTATTATCATCTTTAGTAGATTACTTTGATTTCTTACGTAATCGTTTTGATCACAACGAGGCCTTAGGAATGTTGTTAACAGGGAACGAAACTTATGCTGAGACGAGGATTATAAAAAAAATGCAATTGGGAAAAAAGAGTTCAAAGGCAAGTTTAAGCAAAAAAAAACGCGAACACAATGTTATGTCTTTATAATAGACAATCTGAAGTCGAAGATTATTCGCCGATCTGATAGTTATAAATCTTGTTCAAGAGCATTTAAATTTTTGTGTAAACTAAAAACTACGGAAGATGAAGATATTTTTAGATCAGCAACCGAATTACAACAAAAATACAAGGACGCAAATTCAAGTGGCGAACGCTCTCTTTCGACACTAAAAAGGGTAAAGAACCTACTTACGAAATGCAATTTTCCAAGAAAATAAATTTGAACTCCTTAACAGTTTTATCCATTAACGAGGACCTGTTAAATGAATTAAAAAGAAATGATATCATCGAAAACTTCGCTTCAGTAAAGGTAAGAAACCAAGCTTTTCAATAGTAAGGGTATTTGATTACCTACCTCATGTTAGCTGGTTGAATGTTATTAGGTACATTTTTATTTTACTTTTTGAAGGTCGCTCTTAATTTTCTTCTTGTATTTTGTTAGTATTCATTTGAGTTTGAAACCAAAACAAGTTGTAGTTATTTATAATAAACTTGTATTCAAAATATGTTTTATTGATTTAAAATAGGGTTAAGAAATATTTTTGAGCCTGCGCGCGGTATCAGCACCGGACGGCAGATTGTGTTAAAACACGGCACTACTTTGATATATAAAAATGATGACAAGAAAAAATGCGAAAATTATAAAGAATTGAGTGTGGCGTCATCTATTGGTAGACTGCATGTAAGAATTTTAAGAAATCGACTAGAAGACGAAATGACAGATGTGTGGATTTAGAGCTAGTAGTTGTTGTATAGACAACTTAATATGTCTCAGATAGGTAATCGAGAAGGTCTCGATGCCAATAAGTCTTGCAGAGCTAAGGCAACGAATTATCGATTAATCTTGAATAATTTCTAGACATGTGGACATCTAGACAAATGGAGCACATTTTGAACACTTGATAAAGTATCCATTATGTTAAAAATGTTGTTATCTATCAATTGTTACCTTTTAATGTAGTTAAAAATAGTTAGTATTAAAACATTGATTGAGACAATTAGGCGTTGCCAGACTTCTGTTTTATGTATTTAAGACATTTCAGACTACATAAAATCATAAGTGTTACATATGGTTGAACTCGTATTGCATATAAGATTCCAATAATGACTGAATATACATGGTGATGAATTTGAAAAACCAAAGTTACTAATAATATAAGATAAACGGCAAATCTGGCAACATTGCAAATATCAAATATGTTATCTCCGTATCCCAAAATAGGTGTACTTCAAATTTTGTAAAATTATGACTAGCAATTTTTGAGATAATTCGTGGTTTCCTGACTTTTGGGACACTCTGTATATTACTATTGAAAAATGTCCATAGCGTCATATTTTTAACCGGTGATAATTAAAACTTTATTTATATCAGAATGTGGGAAACTCAAAAATAAATTAACTTATTCGACCGTTTTCTATAAAAGTTGTATATTTATTATCTTATTATTACAGGTAGTTCATACTTTTCCTGGCTATAGTTTTTGTATACCGTCATTTTGGACGGATCAACAAAATCGGATAAATCGAGATATATATCTATATATAGTAATAGTACTATAAGTATATATAAGTAATAGTACAGGAGTTTTCAAATGATTTATACACACACACGCAGTGATCAACCCTGCCCCTAAGGAACCTGTGTATACCTACCATTGTAAGAGTGGGATCCACATGTCCGAAGTTCAAATTGGTTACAATTCACTAGTTGAAGTGGTACCTATCTGACCCCCAGGTTTTTCCTCCACCCTCCTCATCGTGTGACTTACTTGAGGAGGCTTATGATCTGAAAGTTACTTAAGGTGCCCTGGGTAATGAGACACCATTGTTTTTATTGACTGTAATTAGGCCACCTAACTGTAGGGGTAGCCACATGTAGGCTTTTCTCCCTATGTTTTCTCCCTATATTTTCAAATGATTCATCACGTTCGATATATTGCCATTTAAGAAAAATCTCAATGAGGTCATATTTTTGATATAATGTCAACAAAAAAAAAAACAAACGAAGGATGTGTGAAACAGAAAAAATAAATTAATATTTTTAAGCCTTTTCAATAAAAGCTCACTAAATTATTGAGAGTAATAAAACATTTTTCTTCACTTTATAACAAAATAAAAATAATATTTTTAGTCTTACCAATTCTCTAAATGATATTACGTCATTCTTCACATCTTTGATGCTCCAGTGTCTGAAAATATTGGGATACGTAGTGATGTTATAACCAAGCTTCTTACAATAATCCAATTCTAGCGGAAAACACCTTCTAGGCGGTTCTGGTTTTTCTGTTATGGCCTCGGTTACTAATATCACTGTAGTGGAAGATACCTGCGGTGGTTCATTTTCTGGTTTTACTTCAACGCTTTTGACATCGATTGTTAGGTTTTTAAAGTATAGAGGTTCCTCTAAACCAATTTCATTCGATAAAATATTTTCCAAGTCTTTAGCTCGAATCTCCAGGTAGTATGGATTTATATGGATATTGAAATGGACTACCAAGTCTTTATCTTCAGTTCTGTAATAAAGTGTAGATATAAATACGAGAAGACATTAAAAACTAGAAGCAATGTACAGCTTTCATAGCTGACGTGTTTAAAGGTTAGTAAGGCGTTTAGTGTGACCAACTAGCCCGAAAAATCCGGGACATGGCCCGAATTACAAAGTCGTCCGGGCCATCCGAATTTTTAACATTTGGTAAAATTCTATTTTGAAATTTAGAATACGTTATTCTTCTAAGAATTCACATCAAATTGAATTGTTGGGACGAAAAAAAGTCGAAAATTTCTAGAGTGTAATACTAATACCACATCCAAAACGCATGCATTTTATCTTTGTATTATGTTATATAGGAAAACTCAAATTGTGCAATATTTTTCATTTCTGTATTTTAATTATCCTCTTCGGAAAAGATTATTCAAAAACGATAACAGTTCATGTACCGAGGTGTGCCGCATTCAACGATGTAATGATTGGTGATAAATGTTTTTTTTTTTCGGTTTTGTCAATCATACTAAGTAGGTAAACAAACTTCTTGATTTCATTCGCGGTATATTCTTGAAGAATAAATGATTCATTTCCAAATCGTTACGTGCTTTGAACCAAGATCAAATCTGCTGCGTTACAATATGATTTTGTGTAAACATTTATTTTATGTTACATAGATTAGTGATTATCTACAAAGGTCCGAAGAATTGTTTAGTTGACTTTACATTTTTCGTTCCATTCTATTGTTAATATTGAATCAGAACAAGAAAGTTAAAAGAGAAAACGCTATTGCACTTTTAATAAAATATTACAAGAAGAATTCCCAGTTTTGAAAAAAAGTAAAAGTGACGTAAAAGGTGATACTTGTGGATCCGAAATCGGATGGATGTTCGAAAGTTTGGTTGTTGTTCATTCTTGATCAGGTAAAAGGTTTTACATCTAGGCAATGCAAGTCCCATGCTAAGCAAGTTTGTCTTGGATGGCACATCTCTTGCCTAGCCTGTTTACGTCAGCGCTATTTCTGTATAATTTTTGATACCACTTTCATTGTTGCCAACAAAAGAACTATACCAAAACTTTAACTTTAGATATTTCACCTGGAAATTTCAGCCTAGCATTAAATATATTTATAATATAAATCACAAATTATTACATCCAATAAATAATATTATAAACTTACTCAATAATATGTGGTATTGTTCAGTTTTATTCTAAACTATAAATTGTATTATACTAGCAATATGAATTTTAATAGCAACTGGCAGCAAAATAGTATGAAAAATTGAACACGTTTTAATTTTTCCTATAGCACAGGAATTGCATGAAAATAGCGCGTGGGTATGAGCTGTTGCATAATCTGTCTTGCTTGGCTCTTGTCTAGCATGAAATTTGTTTTCTGTATGCTAAGATTTTCAATCGGGTAGTCTTAAGAATTAAAGGTGAAGAAGTAGCTGCGACTGAAATGACACAGTCTTTGGACGATTTCCCGTAGTTGAAAACAAGAATGGATTCACAGTTCCTGTCGTCAGCTGTATTGAATGAAGTAAACAAAGCAAACGCGGACCTCGGTATTGATAAACAAACAGTGTTGCAAATAGCCCTTCCATTTTATCAAACTTGCATCAATTATCTCGAGCAGTGGAAATCACAGTTTGAAGATGTAGTCATATTTGGATGGGCTAGACTCGCTACCGAGCCGAATTGGAATGAAGTCGAGGCAACGAATAAATTCATGGCAGAGAATAATTGGATTAGCGTAGAAGAAAACAATGTTAAATTATTTGACGAGAACAAAGACTTCGAAAAGAATCACGTTCCGTATAAACGCTTTGCACTAGTTTACCAGCTACTTCTGCGAACGTCGAGCGTGTATTTTCAGCGATTACAAAAATATGGATAGTCGAAAAATCGTAACTTGGCATTGAAACCTTAAAAAATATTTTGTTTGTAAAAAATTTGAAATATGAATGTATTGATTTTTAAAAGTTCTGAAGCTGTTTTCTTGTGACATGTTAACAATTATATTTTTTATGGGATTATGCTGCAATTGGTTGTAATAAAAATTACATTCTTATGTTAACCTAAGGTTACATTAACATGGAAATCCAACATCAGTTGATTTTCTAATTTTTCCTTTTTTGAGAATGATTTCCGGATTGGAAGTCGAAACGACAAAAACTAACAACAAATGTAATTATTATGCCTTAATCCCATCAAAAATATCATTGTGAACATAAAAATGTTAAATAATCAATAAAACGATTGTTTGGGAAAGTATATATACGAATTCTTTTCATATTTTTTCATTTAATATTTTTCTGTTACTGTACTGTAATGTGATCTAATTCATTGCTGTATTCGAACGACTTTGTTAAAATATATTGCTTCCTAATATTTCATTAAATTGTACTGGCTACTTCATTTATTATGTTTTAAGTACGGATAATTTGGTTTTCTCCTTTGTATTTTGTGTCACGTAAGGTTTCGTATTACCGTGACAATTAACTTATTATTAAAATTATGGCCACTCAAAGTCGCAATACAATAGAATGATTTATTGGTACACCCTCTTGGACCACCACGTAACGGTTAGAGGGTTCCTTAGTTCTGACCATCTCAACATACTACACTTCAACAGAAGACAGCGAACGACACGGACCTAGTTTTGATCGGTTCTCTTACTATAGCCTCGGCGTCCCCAGGCGTCGTAATGCCCGCTATCCACTCTTCAGCCTGTTACGAATACATCAATAGAACCAAAGAATAAGTCTACATTTTTTGCACAGACAACAATAATGAGTAAATGAATGAATGAAATGAGGTTGAATGCTCGAATAAATGAACTTTGAAAATAAGGCTATTATCGAGCACAAGTTAATTAAATCTAGCCCAAGTACTTTCGCTTAAAATAGCATCTTCAGGGGCATTTTGTCAAAATAAGAACTATCCGGCAAGCGTAGAATGTGGAAACATTAAAAATAACATAAATTGTATAAAACACTACACTAAAACGAGGACAAACAGTTTAAAATTACTTCTACGCTACATTCTAATAATGAGTAAGACCAGTTAATTTCATAAAAAATGATTTTGAGAACGATTTCCGAAATGGAAATTGAAACGTCAATAAACGAACTTTAACCTTTAATTGTGGCTTATCCCCAGTTAAACAGTAATTAATTTAAAACGCCACAAGAAAATAGCTTCAGAACAATATTAAAAAATAATTATAGATAATCAATATAGACATAACTTTAAATTATTATAATAAATATTTCAGTGAAATATTGGATTGTAATTGTCACATTTTGAAAAGCGTTTTTTCGCCCCGAATATTTTATAGTTTATAATACTTAGGATAAAGTATATTGTTAGTTTTTCACATCTTGGTAGTTTGCCTGTTACAAAACTTATTGACACAAAATACAGTTGGTGTTTGGTAGGTAATTGAAGTATAAAATTACAGTAGATGCATTTCAATGTTTCCTGTTTCAATACCCTAGGTTTAAAGATCCTTCAAATATTTTGGGTATTAACCCTATCTGTGGTTATTTAATCTAATAGATACGGTTTTTTGTTATCTGTTATCTGTGATGGCAAAAACGAATTGATTGAACACAGGTTTACATTGGGAAAAAAAAGTGTAGCAATTTTATATATCGGGAAGTGTACAATCGAGCTCTGAAATGTAATTCTCAATTTTTCTAAGGGCGTCAGTTTTTACATAATTTCGTCTGACAAAATTGCATTATTGCTGAAATGGAGCATCTTGAGTGAAATTGAAACCTGTTGCGAGGCACAACTTTGCAGATATAATTACTATATATTTTGTCTCGAGACCAATAGCTCCTCACTTCAGGAAATGGAAATAAACCCATCCAAAGAATAATTCGAATAGTTTTTCTATTTCATCTCGTTTCCAGAATTTTACGTGAGAATTAATTTTATTGTACATAGTTTGATAGAATTCCGCTCGAAATCCAGTACCATTTTCGTTTGCCACAAAATCATATTTCTTCAGGTAATTGCCACTGCCTGGCCTCCAGACATATGTAGCATTTGTAACTTGTTGGTCCTCTTCTTCGTTACTTGATGAGAAAACCTGCATTTGTTCAATAACAGCTTCAATGGTATCTGCTATCTTGTGTTGTGGTTTATTGACTGGTTGGATAATTTCACTAGATATTGATGCACCTAAGTTCACTTCGTGTAAATTGGCAGTGCTTTTCGAGCCACATATTTTTGTTAAAACTTTCTTCTTCTTGCATGGCTGATATTCTGATGAATCAGAGTCAGACTCGTTCTCTGATTGTTCAAATTCATCTGATGTTCCGTCGGGTTCAAAATCGTTCACATACTCTTCGTGGAAAAACATTTTTGCAATAACTTTTCTAAACGTTGCTTTTCTTTTTCAAAAATAGACATCTTTACTCACCAAAAGTTCAACAACAACTGAACGGATCTGATGTTGTAAACATCGTTTGTACCGTGACGTTAACCTTTGCGAGTCGAAATCTGTGAATATATTACATCAGCATAGTGTGGTAACACAACGTGTCACCATTTTCGTTTTTTTTTTTGTTAAATTGCAGGTTTTTTATTTTTTTCAATTTTTAATAGCACAAAAAGTTATTTATGGTTATTTTTATTTAAAAATTGAGAAAAAAAATTTGGCCCCACGGATAGATTTTTTTTTTGTCCATAGTGGTACTTAATGTGTTAATAAGTGTAGCTACTATATTTAAAGTGTAATTGTTATTTTATCTTATTATGTAATAATGTTGTCATAAATTGCTTATATTTGTGTATATTAAGGGATTTCCCTATTTTTGAATAAATAAACTTCTTATTCTAGTGAGTTTCACATATTTGGGCCACTGAAATATGTATTAATATTTTTTAAAGGTAATCGGTTTCAGTTCGATAAATATGTACAAAATGCTGTAAAAGAATTCTTTGAGCAACAGCAATAATAAGTCTGTAAGAGGGTATACATCGGTTGGTAAAACAATAGGACATGTGCCTTAATTGTAGTCGTAAATATTTTGTAGATATATTTGCCAATTTTGTTTTTCTGGGCCAAAGATGAGCTTAAATTGAACAAGTCTCTTATAAGATAAGTTAGTGAAGACAGTTAGTTATACAAGAACGAACAATAGACTAAAAGTTCAACAGAAAAGTGGAATTAACAAAAATTACATTAACATTGTAAATTAGAAAAAAGTAATATCTAACGAAAATTATGGACGAGCAAATTATTATGCTGCAAATAAAATAAAAAAAAAACACCTTACCAATCTGGATACGATTATTGATAGTGAGAATTTGTTCAAACTTTAAAAAATAAACATAGAGGAATAACAACATATTTATTCAAATGTGTCAATCAAATATACAAATCATCTTTTTGTTCTACTCTGCGAATAAAATCACATGCTAAGAATATTTTTTCTTTAGCTTCGTCTGTTATATTTGACAATTCTTCCCAAAATTAATGTTTATTTTGTTTTGTATTGTTGTCGTTGTAAAATACACAAATAATGTGTATTTTATATTGCAGATATAATCTGATACCTTGTTATGTACAATGAATGCATTCTACCCATGCTGCTGTTTAAATATTATTTTTAGCTCCACCGTAGTTTACATTTTTATTACATATTTTCCACTTTTCTTAATTTTTATTTTTTTCAATATGTATATTACTGTAGTTTCGCATTTTTCTTTCAGTTCCTCTTCTTTTTTATTTCCATTTTCCATTTAGATTCTTTATATTCCTTTTTCCTGGTTTTTATGTTTCTTCATTATTTACATATTTATTTTAATCTTTTTTTAGTGTTTTATTATCATTTGTATTTAAGTTGTTTTATTTTTAAGTTTATTATGACCTACTCTGCTGTGATCTATTCTATTCTCATATCTACAATAATAATAGTACAAAAAATAAAGTGTTAAAGGCAACAAAAACATACCCATCCAAAGCCAAAACTTCAGTACCCATATATCCATGTCGCACGGAACTTCTCCTAAATAAAAGGTTCAGTCTTTCTCTATAATCACGAGATCGATTTTTGAATTTATTTGTACTAGGATCTGCTAATTCTGAACTAAAGGTATCTCCTTCTACCACCCTAAACGTCGCTCTGAATATCTGCTCGTCTGGGTTTTGAGGAAGAAAAAATGTATCTGAAAGAAAAAAATTAGAGATTAAATTATTATTCAATCGTTTATTAAAAGTTTTGCAATTTGTTACAACATACATTTTTTTGTGATAATACATACGTTTGTGCCAAAGTATGAGGGTATTAGGTCATTAGTACAACATAATAAGTTTTTACACATAATAACAACTAATACCAAAATTGTTGTATTACATTAGAATTTTAAGTATACAGGAATATCACAAGTAAATATTTTTAATAATGTATCTAATTATAAGTGAATTCATGTTTGTTTATATTTACTATGGATTTGAATCATTTAAAGGTACGTAAATGAACGGACCGAATCCAATACTTATTTAGCACATCATTCGCTGTTATTGATTATGTAAATAAAGCTGTATATCCGCTATATTGAGTGAGTTGCGAACAGTACCCTGGCTAAAGGTATAAAGCCAAAAGTTATAGAACATGGCTATTCGAACCACAACCTCCCAACACTATAGAGGTACATAATGTATTCTCTGTGAACCTCAAAACGGCAAATCTACGAGATATTACCAATTTATTAAGATACATCAAAATAAAGATTTTTATGTATGTATGTATGTATGTATGTATGTATGTATGTATGTATGTAAAACAGTTTCATTATAAGGAGCAGACACTGTTCACTGGAAGGGAAAAATCGATATGCCATAATTTCAAATATTCATAAACTAATCTCGGCAATTTTTTGGCAGTCTTATAAATAACTTCGTGATGACATGCAAGCAATCAGCATACGTTACTTCCTTATAATACTAGTTGAAAGCCATTTTAAACAGCCCTTATTACAAACTAAAAAACAGTCCTATTATTTAATCTTTATTTGGAATCTATTTTCAGAGAACCATTAGATGAGGTCCAAGGTGGAATCAAGACTAACGGAAACAGCATAGACAACAACGTCTTCATAGCAATCAACTCACAAGAACTACAAAATATAATAAACGCGGTAGTTCGTCATAGGAAAATGGTTGGTAAAGAAGAAGTATTAAAAAAATCTAGAATGTTCGAGATGTCATCGAAAAATCCGGAAATGTCTCGTAATGTCTGGAGCGTCAGCAAATGTATATAAGTACCAGAATTTGGGAGTTTATTTTTACCTTTACCGCAAGCGACCAATAACATGAATTTTAGTGCAATACAGTAGTTCTGAAGTTGGTCGCAGACGTATAAACGGCTTGCAGGAACAATGGTCACTAGGAACACAGTTTTCGTCCCTGCCGATTCAGATTCGCACACATGCACACTCTTAAACACTCGTACAACATTACTCACATTAGCATGACGGGTCCTCTTTTTGCTACTGAAATATCCTCGCCGCTGTAGCCCCCGGCCGACCACTGAATCTTGTGCCCGAGCACAAATTCTAGGGTGGGCGGGGAACTCGAAGCGATGGACGGAATTAAAGTTACATCGAAATGGTAGCGTCCATCACAGTCATGATATCACAAACACACTCAGACTGGGCTACCTGTGGCCAACCGCCTCTCGAAAGCTGACGAGGCCTGGATGTTAACGCAAACATCCAATAACAAAATTTTAGTGCAATACACTAGTTCTGAAGTTGAATGTAGATGTAAAAACGGCTTGCAGGAACAATAGTAACTAAAGACTCGGTCTTTGTCACATCTAGCTCAAAACATAAACACTATACTCTGGAAAGAACATCTCATCCAAGCAAGCCTTTTACCTCTGATTTAAGTAGCGACTCCATCTCAACAGCCACCAAGATGCTCTACTACACACGCCACTACCAGAGTGTATTTTTCGATCTATTCTGCTTTACCACAACACGTTCAAAGATAACCTGAAAAGGATCGAAATATCCTAAACTGGGACACACATGTTCATCCTTTGGAAATAAAGAATCCTTTACCTATCCCTTTGTAAGAATTGTAGTAGTAGTTTAATATGAGCAGTATTTGAGCTTTTAAAGATAATAGTTGTCATTGTGTAGAAGCTGTAAGCAAGAATTGTTATATTGTTGGTGTTTGAATAAAGTATTTTTAAGAAAAAGAGGTTTAAATCTTTGTAAGCAGGTATATTTAAACAAAACCCTTAAAAGGGATACTTCAAAGTAACAAACGTTTTCGGAATATTAATTCCATCATCAGGTTAAAAGCAGGATTTAAATATACCTACTTACAAAGATTTAAACCTCTTTTTGTCATACATGGTATACAGCCAGCTGCAGGAATTTATTTTCCTTGTGGATTTTATTTTTAAGAAGTGTAACATTGGTGACAGCTGTGTAATAAAAGAGATATTAAGTAATTGTTGATAGTTAATACAAGATTTACTGAATTTGACAACGAAATGGATACGTCTGGGCCCCCACATGGTTTTTAAAAATTAAAAAGAAAGAGAAAGTAGAGGAAGAGGTGAAGGAGAAGCGTAGACAAGAAGAGAAAGATTAAAAGGAGGAGAGGCGTAGAAAAGTAGGAGTGGAAATCATAAATAGTTTATTATCTCAAATCCACGTAAAGTTTAAGTTATAGCTGAGTCAAATTACTAGTAAGATAGACTATTTAGAAGAACAATACAACGATATGAAAAACGATTTAGTTACAACAAAACAACAACAAAACGATATTTAATCTAGTCTAGCAAATAACTATGAAGAAATGAGCAATGTTACGACAGTTTCATAAGATTTATTTTATACAGAAAAAGTTACTTGATAAAAAAAAAAGAAGTAATAAAAATCTAGAATGTTCGAAATCGAAAAGTCCTGAAATGTCTCGTAATGTCTGGAACATTAGAAAATGTATATAAACACAGTAAGTTGTCAGTTTAAGATTGGTAGTATTTTAAGTTTTTGAAGTTAATATATTGTTGATGTTTTAAAGTATTTAAAGAAGTGTAAAAATATCTACAGCCAGTGTCACCCGAAAACAGAAATTGTTTCAAGAACCGAACAAACATCGAAAACACTCACACTCATGAACATGAAAATATTTTTTACAAGATCAGATCTTAGTCTAAAGCTCAGAATCCGAATTTCTTTTTTTCTGTATGGATGTGAAAATTGACCAATGGACTCTGAAACAGGAAAAAGAATAGATTTCTTTGAGATTCATATATACAGACGCATGCTGAGAATTTCATGGATACAAAAAGTTACCAACGATGAGGTACTTCGGCGCATAAGTACACAAAAATAATTACTAAGCATAATCAAACATAGGAAAATTCAATATTTGGATTATGAGTTGAGAAGTGAAAGATATGAATTACTCCGAATCATACTGGAATTTAAAGGTCAAAAGATCAGTAGGCAGACGCCAGAACTAGGGGCTGAAAGACCTGAGGAGATAGTTTGACTGCTTATCCGCAAAAACCTTTCGTGCATCAGTTTTCAAAGCTATAATTGCCATTTGGATCGCTAACCTTTAAAAGAAGATGGCTCAATCAGAAGAAGATCCTCCTCAAACACGTTAATTGTCAAGATTCTACAAGTGATGATATTTTTTAAATTTTAAAAATTTTAAGTTAATTTGTAAAAGTACTAAAAAGTATACTTAATTAGTTAAATCTAAAAAATCATAATCAGTAACTCTAATAGGGAAAGAGCCCATATAAAAGGCATTTAAAGCAGCGTTTCGCAACCTTTTACTATTGCGACCCAATATTCCATAATTATTTACACCATGCCTCCTCTCGTACAATAACAATATATGCATGCAATAATATTGTACCTTGAGTATTTTGACGCTAAACTTACAGTAAAACCTTAACCACTAAATTACCGAAAATAAGTAAATTTATTGATATGTAGCAACACCGATCCGGAATCGATGCCGCTTTTCACGAGAAGTTCCGAATTAATTCAAGCAGTCTGAACCGTCTGCATCTGCTCAGTCTAACCAGTCTTAGTCGATTCAGTCCTTCTGTACCTGTTAAATTTATTGTGAATCTGTATGTTGTAGGTTGCGTGTTCGTTACAGTTCACGACATTAAAATATCCCAAGCAGTAATTACAAATTTATACATCATGAATAAATTTTTAACTGGGCATAAGCAAGCATTGTATACAAGTATCAAGTATCAACAAGTACACAAGTAAAAATGGTTCCAAAAAGTCAAGAAAATATTCTCAAGAATACTTAAATTTTGGGTTTACCTTTACTGAAGGTAATAAAGAAGACATGCTTCTGTGTATCATTTGCTCAAATATTTTAGCAGCCGACAGCACGAAAACTAATGAACGTAAGACATTTGAAAACGCTTCATAGTGAGAACGAACATAGCCAGGAAATTCTTTAACTTAAAATTAAAATCACATGAAAAACAAAATTTTTTTTTTAAGTTTGACTTGAATGAAAAAGCTTTGCTTGCCCTTTATAAAGCCCGTTACACTATTGTTGAAGAAATTATTTTATTCACTGCAATTGAAATTATAGAAACTGTGTTTGGAGTGAAAATAATTTTGCTGAAAAATTGACCTCTATTAAATGATACTACTGTTGCTCGTCGAATCGGTGATAGAGCTAAAGATGTACAAGATCAGGTACTCAGAAAGTTGCACGACAGGCTGTTTCCATTTCAGCTTGATGAAGAAGAACTACTTTTCTGCAAACTAATAGAACTGAAAGCAGTAGTAGTAGAAGTAATGGATTTTGACAAGAGCTATGATTCATGCCGAGGCAGTACACAAGTTTACCTGTTGTTTACAAGGTCATAACTCTTCTCAAAATCCATTTGCATCCAATCCAGGAAGAATTGCATCAGAATATGCACCGATGGTGATCGTGTAATGTCCAAAAAATTTCCAAGTCTAGAAACGCTTGTAAAAAAAAGTCTCCAATGTATAAATGGATACACTGTATGATCCATGGAGAAGCTCTGGCTTCCACGGAAATGTCTCCTGGCCTGAATATTGTGTTAACTACGGTTGTAACAATAGTTAATTATATAAAAATGAGACCTTTAAAAACCAGAATCTTTTATGCACTTTGTAAATACAGGAGCAGTACA